CTCTGTGTGGCCTCGACTAGTGATTTAAAAGGCGTGCCTAGGCGCACAGGCGAGGCACATTTTGGGGTATGCGCCTCGCCCAGGTTGTAGGTGCACCCCTTTCGAAAGGCGCATGCTTGGTGCGCTTGATGAACCTTGCACCTTAGCCCAGGCATTAGACTCAAAAAAAGCAAAAAGCGTAAAATTTTAAAAAGGCGCACACCTGGGCTGAGGCGCATAAGTAGGATTAGAGTTATTGAGTCTTGTTTGAATTGAAATAGAATATGACAACTTAGTTTGAGTCCTACTAGGATTATTGAGTCTAATAGTTTGACTCCTAAGACTATTATGAGTCTAATAGTTTGACTCCTAGGATTATTATGAGTTTAGAGTATATAAATATGTATGGACGTTTTACACAAAGGCAATGAATTATATTGAGGTTTCTTCAGCTTATGCTAGCTATGGTGAGTGATTCCCATGCCCTATAGTGATCCTAAGCACCCTGTGAGTGGTTCCAGGTATTTTCTCTCTTCTTTCTCTCCTTATTTTCTCTCTTATTCCTTCAAGAAGCCATTACAGCCATTGACAGCGACATAACTCTGATAAAGAAGACCATTCAACATTCTCTAAGGACTAGAACTTAGCTGGTCCTACATCACCCCTCCATTCCAAAGGAAGTCACATTGCAGCTTTTCAAGGCAAGATCTCACTTTAGCAGGCACCTTGAAAATGGAGAAAAAATAAACAGGCAGGCTGGAGAGGGAGGATTTTGATGTAATTTTGGTTATGTGCCGCAAGGGCACTTTTGTCTTTTCCTTCTTTCTTATTATTGTAATGGTCGCCCTAACATATAAATAGAAGTTCTGGCACCACTAGCCCAGATTTTTTGGACTTCAATTCCCTCTTCTTTCTTCTTCTTCTCTTCTCCCTTCTCTTTCTCCTCTCTTCTCTGTTCTGTTTCTGATCGATATCATGGTATCAGAGCAGGACAGGGCTTTGTAAAAGTTTCCTTGACTTATCGAAGCTCTCCCATCTCATGTCTGGACTGAGAATGAGGAAGATACCTTTGTCCTTTCCCTGAGAACTGTTTGGCTGATCCTGTTCCATTAATTCTTGAACAGAAACTTGAACAAACAATTCCATAAAGCAATTGATGATTGTCTGAGGTCTTCTTAGAGGTTGGTGGTTGTCTTTTCTTCGTCTCTTCCATTCTTCTCTAGACTGTAACTTCTAAAAGCCAGTCGAACTGATAAAAAATATAGACTGAAGTTTTTTTATTGGTTCTTGGTACTGTTACTAAGAACATACTAAAGTTTGCCTCAGCTGAATGGTGTACCTGTTAAATTGGTCGCTGTGGGTCGGTGATCAAAATCTGTGTGGGTGAAGAACCTGTGTAGGTCATGTATGGCCTGGTTCAGTTGAAAAGATACAACAGGAGATCTGTAGATGTTATGTGCGACTCAAACTAGCCTTTGTGAGGTCAGTTAGACCTGTGAATCTATGATGGCAGGTGCTGTAAATGCCATATGTGGCCTAAACTAGCTCGTGTGAGGTTGGTTAGACTTGTGAACCTGTGACTGCAAACACAGTGTGCTGTGTTACAATTTTTTTGAACACTTGAAGTGAGGGCTGTGTGTTTTTTGGTGTGTGGACTACGGGAGGAGGTTTGTAGGTCTGAACCTTCTGATAACCATTCTTTGCTATGGCCTCTGAGGACTCTACAACTTCTGGAACCTCCTTCAATCAAGGAGGAATGAATAGTAGTCAGGACTCCATGAGTTTTCCAACAACTATCACCCCCTTAGATGGCAGAAATTGTTTGACATGGTCTAAGGAGAGGCAACTATACATCACTGCCCGAGAAAAGGCAGGGTACATCAATGGGAAAGTAAAGGAGCCTAGGGCTGGTACTGTTGAATATGATAAGTGGGACCAGGAGAACTGCATGATTATGTCATGGCTTCTGACTATTATGCTACCATCGGTTAAACAGAATTTTATGTGGGCTGAGATAGCTAAGGAAATATGAGAAGAAGCAAATTCAACTTACTCCGAGCAGAGACACTATGCTAGAATTTATCAATTGCAAGCCAAGTCTGCAACATGTAAACAAGGGGAAGGAAGCCTATCCACCTACTATTCTGCCCTCACATCTATTTGGAAAGAGTTAGATTATTATCAAAACATTGATTGGGAGAGTGAGAAGGATGCCAAAGCTTACAAACAGTTAGTTTCATAGCAGCGGGTGTTTGCGTTTTTGCTGGGGCTTAATCCCATGTATGAGCCCATTCAAGTTCAGATTTTGGGTGGCAAGGATCTTCCGACTGTTCAAGAGGTGTATGCATTGGTTCAATCTGCGGAAAGTAGAAAATCTGCCATTCCTGAGGGGAGACCATTGCTTTAGCGTAAGAAGTAATACTAATTCAGCAAGAAAGGGAAATGGTCAGAAAAGGGTTGATGATAAAGATAAACTGTGGTGCACTCATTGTCAGAAATCTCGAAACACATGGGAGACATGTTGGGAATTGCATGAAAAGACGAAGTGGGCACAAGACCTAAGAGATCAGCACAAGAGCAGAATAAGAAACCAACTCAGAAGTTCACCTTGGCTAACTTGGCCTCTCATGAGCCACAGAGTGGATGTACTACTACGAATCCATAGGGTTTCCCCCTAGTTCTGATCTCAAGGAAAATATTATCAATGCCTTCTGTGACCAGTTATAGCAATATGGTAGGGCTCTCACACAAGCAGATTTTGGACCCACTCCTTCCACCTCTTTCGCTTCTTCCTCAGGTAACTTAGCTTCTGCATTCCATGTGTCTACTGATACCTCCGAATCTCCATGGATTATTGATTCGGGTGCTTCCAATCACATGACTACTAAGTCAACCTTTTTCCAATCATACACCCTTCTTTCTGGTAGAGATAAAGTGAGGTTAGTTGGTGGATTCTAGACTTGTTCACAGGTTGGGCATCGGGCCAAACTTTACACTGTTTTGGGCTTGGGATTCTGGCTAGGCCCATTAGAATTTTGATAAAACCTAAGCTCGAGCCTGGCCCATGAACAGGTCTATTGGATCCTTCTCCCTCATTGCTGGTTGAGGATCTATATCTTTGCCATTTGGCCCACCTCTGTCAAATGTTTTACATGGTCCAAAGTTGCCTATTAATTTGTTGTTTATTAGTAGCATTACACAATCTTTGAATTGCTTAGTAACCTTTTTTCCTCAATCTTTTGTCTTTCAGGATTTGGCCTTCGGGAGGACGATTGGTAGCGGGAACATGGTGAATGGTCTCTATGTGCTAGAGAATAAAGTTGGTCTTGTGGCCTTAGAGTCTTTGAGTCAGTCCAATAAGAGTCAGATTACTTTGTGGCATAATTGTATGGGTCATATGTCCTTTGAGTCTTTGAAGTATTTGTTTCTTGAATTGTTTAAGTCAGTGTCAAGTGTGTCAGTTAAGCAAGCATTGTAGAGCTTCGTTTCCTTTACGTAATAAAAGACCAGAAGTTCATTTTTTCATTGTGTATTCTGATGTTTGGGGACCTGTAAATATTCCAACGAAGAATGGCTACAAATATTTTATATCTTTCATTGATGACTTCTCTCGATATATTTGGATTTACTCAATGCACTCTCGAGAGGAGGTTCCTAAAGGTTTTGGGTGGATGCTGTTATGATTGTGGCTTATGTCATCAATTAGATGCCATCTCATCTCTTGGAGTACATGTCCCCTCATAAGCTCATCTTCCCTAAGGGTCTATTGTTTCCTATCTCTATGCGTGTCTTTGGGTGTAAGTGTTTTGTCCATGATTTATCTCCTACTTGTGGTAAGTTGGATCCCAAAGTTATTGTTTGTGTCTTCCTTGGCTACGCTCTCTTCCAAAAGGGTTATCGTTGCTTTGGCCCCATTTCCAAAAAGTACTTTGTATCCATGGATGTCTCCTTCTTTGAGGATGTTCATTTCTTTTCTGCTTCTCCTTCAAGTGAGGAGAAACAGAAACAAGTGCTATTGCCTTCTCCTCTTGACCCTCCATTTCGGGTCTTTCGTAGACAGCGGTACAATAGTCAAGGCTAGGATCAACAGAGTTCAATAGACACAGAGCATCCTGAAGCTGTGCAACCTATGCCATCGGATTTTCAGGGGTTGAATCCCTCACCGCATCTAGGTGCTATTATTCTAGTTGATATTCTTGAACCCATTGATATTGACACTTCCTATTGTGATTTGGTTCTTCCTATTGCTAAAAGGAAGGGTGTCAGATCTTGCACCACACACCACCCAATGTCTCATTTCTTGTCCTATGAGATTGTTTCACCCTCTTTCCGTGCTTTCCTCTCTGTTATTGACAGTGTTCCCCTTCCTAAGAGTGTCGCAGAAGCTTTATTTGTTCTTGAATGGACAGATGCAATAAAGGAGGAGATCAATGTCCTTCACAAAAATGGCACGTGGGATTGGTTGATTTTCTTGAGGGAAAGGAACCTGTGGGGTGCAAATGGGTATTCTATGTGAAACATAAGGCGAATGGCATAGTGGAGAGGTACAAGGCCTGGCTTGTTGCAAAAGGCTTTTCATAGGCGTATGGAGTTGATTATGCTGAAACCTTTGCCCTTGTAGCCAAAATGAACTCTATTTGGGTGCTTCTCTCTTTAGCAGCAAATCTAGTTGCTAAGTATTTGGAGTTTCACCCAAATGACCTATATGTACTCCTGGATTATCCCCTCCTCCCAACCAAAAAAAAAAAAAAGAACAAGAAAAAGAAAAAAAAAACTATAAGTTTTAACTAATAGAGCTTCAGGGAGAAATAGTTGTATAGGAAAGATTTTGTTCTTTTAGCAGGGGTAACCTTGATCCTTTATCTTTGATTTCTATGTTATTCAATTAAGAATTCAGGTTCTACTTTTAAGGTGTTAAACTGATTGTTGAAATTTGAGATTAAGTGGTGGTATGACATCCTTGAGAAGTGGACCATGGGATCAATATTTTGGTGATTGAAACTCATCATGCTTTCCTGTAGGAACAGTTGCAGCCTTTGTCAGTGGACTTGTGGCCATATGGGCGCTATCTCAATCTCACAAGAGAACCCTAGGATTCATCTCTAAGGTGTTAAAATGTTTTTTTTTTTTTCTTTTAATTTATTTTTTTAAACAGCTATTCATCATTGCAGCCACTAAATGACATGGAAACGGGAAATATGTTCCTCGTTAAAGGAAAATTGTGAATGTTTATTGTTAAATCTGTAGTTCTTAATAAAATCAATATCTTTTTTACCCTTATTTCTTAAAAGAATCTGCATTCAAATTAATGAAAGACCTTGTTCAAGTTTTCACCTTGTGGTATGTTCAGCCCAGAATGATTTGTGGTTCATTCGGAAGTTTCACTGCCTTGCAACTTGAGGTCTCAGGTTCTATGCCAACTTAGCTACCAGAAGGAGACAACTGTCTTAACCTTTTCAGTGATGTTTATAACTTTTAAGTTTTAGTATGAGAGACTAAAAGCACAAAAAATCTGGTTAAATAGTTACACCAAGTGGTTCATGCTCACAAGAAGTTTTAGTATGAGACTAATTGAAAGCACAAAAAATCTGGTTAAATAGTTACACCAAGTGGTTCATGCTCACAAGATGCGCCTTCCACTAACAATGACAAGCGGGCTTAACTTGATACAGGAGTGAAGGATTAATAAGGAAACATTGGAGATAATCCTGAATTTATGCTCATTAAAGGGACCAAGGATTCATAGTCCAATGGCTAGTATTGAATGCTTTCTGAAGCAAGTTACCTCTCACACATTAGGGAATCCCTTGAATTGTGAAGATTCTCATCTCCTCTAAGCATTTCTTTATGGCTAATCGTACGGAAAGGTGGTGGTGCACATACTTTGTTGAGGATTAGGGGATCACTCCCATTGACAATTTCCACACCAGCAAGATAATTTGCTTGTCATCGATTGGGATTATTCTAAGAAGATTTCCGCCCTCCGCCATTCAATTCAAATGTGCGGAATCCTGCAGCCTATCGTGCACGTAATGGGTATGGCAACTGTGATTGGTGGCCAACAGATGGTATGCGAAATTATGCTGATTGAAACCTTGATGGGGACATGTCTGTATACTCTACTTCTTGAAAGCTTCAGAGATTTATTTTTTAATGGGAGGTCTCTTTATTATTGTTCTCTCTTTTATTTCTTGCATCAGAATCTTGGAATAAATTCCCCTGTAAATTGCACTCATCTCTGTGCATACGGAATCACTGATACCTGATTTGTCTTCAAGACTCCATGCAATGGTTACTACCGGAGCCCGAGAGACAATTAAAGGCTTCCTTTATGGTGCAGCTTGAACTACTACAAATTTAATGGTAAGAAAAAAGAAGAGGAATACGGAAAAAGGTAAAACAGTTCCAGTAGCCACGTGAAACATCATTTTCGAATTTATCTACTTGGATGGTTAAATAACAAAAATGGTTTCCATATCATATACATTTATTTTCACCATCATCATCATCTTGTAATGGCCATCACCATACATGATTGATTCAACTCAACTCTTCATGGGTTCATCCCTCTGGTCTGTGTTTCTTCAAGTCAATGGGCTTTACACGTTTAAATCCTCTCTTCCTCCTCTCTAATGACCGACTAAAGAACCCCAAAATGTTGAACCCATCACTGTTACATGGAGCTTTCTTGCTGCCTGTGCTAAATTCAGTTTTCTCATCTCATTATTTTACTACCAGAGGTAGAGATAATTGTCTCATAAAAGTCTAAGCCATGGCTCCAAAATCCAGCATTTGACCGACTGTACAATGGTACAAGACAAGTGCACAACTCTCGATCCTAGAACTTGTTCATTGCTATCAGTGTGCAGTACAATCCGGTCCCTGATCTAAACAGCAAACTGTGAGGCCCAGTTTCTGTAACAGTTCAGTTAGGATTAAGTTGCTTTCCATTTCATTTCCTCGTGAGACTTCTTACGAACATCCATATCAATGGCACAGTTGGCACTGTACGTTACATCTCTGACCCAAGGGTCAAGGCAACTTATTAAAAGAAGAGTGATAGGAGTCTAATTTTCACCGGATATTTTGTATGTCTTCTGTAAAATTGATATTGCCACTTTAAGAAGCTTCGTCCAAATGGGATCTTCCGTTTGCAATGGAAATAAAAATAAAAAAACCCAGCGCGGAAACAACATTTGTCTTCTTTTCTATTTCCAAATTCTTATTTCCATCCCTGAGTGGATAACACAGACGACAGAACTTCCATCTAAGGCCACACGTTTCGAGCTGGAAACACATGGAATCTGACAAGGGGCCACGAATTTCAGGGAAATAATTTCTGCTTCAAAAATCCATGGAGTTGCCCAAACTTTGAGAAGGGAAAAGAAACCGCTCTGGCTCTACTTGTTAGGGGTGGGGGGTTGGTTTGGTGGGGTTCCTGTTGCCCCAGTCACAGCCAAATTCCCACTGTAGAGACACACTCAAGTCTTCAACCCTATTCTGAGGAAAGGGATACAATTAACTGGAGCACTCATTGTCTTTCAGTGTTTCCTTTCTTCCATCTGCCGGCTTCTATCCACACAACCTATTCAATACAGTGGTCCCATACATTGATGCAACACCTCCTCCCAAATACCCACAAGCGTACAGTTAAAAAATAATGATTACAACAACAATGATACAGGGATTTATGACTATAATATCAATAACTGAGTTAACAAGAATTCCAAGATTTGACACTTGGAAGTCACTTAAACCCCAAATTATTAACCAACCAAAAGGGAAAAACCATGGGTACTGGTCATGGTTTCTAATCAGACTGATGAGGGTTGATACGGAAATCCATTTTAGTTCCCTAGAAACCAACACAACCCATTATTGGTGCAAGGAGGTTTTTAAGGAATTGGGGGAGGAAAGAAAAGCAAAGGGCTTGTTGATGATTAGGAGGACCTAATAAAAACCCACTAATGAGTAGTAGATTGGATTGGTGGTAATATTTTATTGCCCCAGAATCTCCAAAAATCTTTTGATGGAGCAAGATTTGATCTTACTCTTGGAATAGCGGAGCTCCACCAGTTAAGAAACGACCGTCCTTGCCCCACTCACTCCTGATGGAATGAAAAAAGATCAAGAAAAGAACTCATTGACGAGGAAACTGATAGACATGCATCCGGATTCCCATCGAGTTCCCCATCTCTAATCAAGTAGCTAGAAAAGGGGGTTGGGATTGGGAAAGGGGAAAAAAGTGTAAATTTAGGGAAGGAATGAGGACTCCAACAGAGCAAATTACAGAGGGATTTTTGATTTTTCACCTCTTGATAAAGTATCAGACAGGGATCTCTGTTCATCATCGATGTCCAGATCCCTTGTGGACAATGCAGATGCATACATGAATGGGGTTTGATCACATGGGTTACAACTTGCAAGAGAGAGGCACATGGCAACATTTTCCTGCGCACGTGTGTGTGACAGTGTCATCACATAACGACAAGTACTTGAGTTAAACGTTGGCAATCTACGTTACTGTTTATTATGGAATCCAGTCCACAATAAGATAGAAGCTCAGGGTTGAAAAAGATGATAAAGCCAGAGCACTTGGGTACAGCGAGAGAGATCAGCTAATGTAATTGTACTCAAAGAAAGATTGATGATTCTGCTGAGCAAGTTGAGTAGAATAAAGTCATAAACAGGTAGGAAAGGTCTCAAACTGTCTGGAGATGATAAAACTGCATAATCAGAGAGACCCATTAGTAGACACTGTTAGAACGTCAAACATTTCTCCATTCTCATCCACCAGCGAAACGACATTGATCCATGTCATGACATACATCCCCTCTTGCTCAAATCTGGACTCCAGAGTTCAGACGCCACAGCAATATTGGGGCCATGGGCACGTGCTCTTTTCTTCACTACTCTAAAATAAAAGGATAATCCTCCTTGTTTTAACAATTGGATCAAAATTGAAGCAGTAAAATTAGATTAGTTAAACCAAAAGCGACCAAAACAGAACCAAATCCTATGGACAGATACCCAAAATGGCGGTTAAAAACAATCAGTCTACCAATCATCAATTTATCAATCATCTGGGTTTTCACTTTTTTATCATGGGGAATAAGATTACAGCAATAACTTCCTCTCTGCAGTTTGCACTGGAGTCTTGTTTCATGCAAAATCAGCAAAACCGTGGTACCCCCACCTTGTCTGAGTGTCCAACAAATGGTTTGAACCATATAGACACATAAAGAGATGGTTTGAAAAATGAACTTTGAACCGGAAGGAGAATCACAGACGGAGGAGGGTTGGCTCCCCCCCACCCTCACCCAATTTTTAAGCAAGTCACAGCACACTGCACATATACGGAACAAACTCAGTATGACAGAACACCAGGCTATAGGCACTCTGAGGCTTCCAGTGGTCGATTATTTTTTCATTTTCTTTTTCTTTTTTTTTTCAAATTATGCTACTTTTCTTATTGGTTTCTAACTTTTATTGGCACCTGTCCTTCAAAGACCTAGTCGTCCCAACATTCTCCATGTATATGAGTATATATATATACCCCCTCCATGGTAGCTCAATCAGCTCAAAGACAAATAAAAGAGCTATAAAAAGTTGATTCGATTTCATTAAAATCTTAAAAAAGTCTCCTTTGAGAAGGTAGCTATGTGTAAACCCAAGCCATCCTCTCCCTCCTCATTCTTCTCTTCAAAGAAAACTCATTTCGCAAATCCCAACAAAACCATGGACGATGTCTACAGTGGTGAAGAACTCCATAGATGGCCAACTCCCTATGAGGTAATACATACAAACAGCCATTCTCAAGAACATTAGCATACCATATTGTAAATAGTATATATACTGTACTTAATTATCCAACAATGTTATAATCTTGACCAAGCACTCAATTTCTAATTTGTCTCTGCTTGCTTGCTTTAATTTGTTTCTTTGCATAATGTTCAGGTAGTGGAGGAAATCAAAGCCATGGGGAAGATATCAAGCCCGACAGCTCTTACAGGTCTGATCATGTATTCAAGAGCTATGATTTCCATGATTTTTCTTGGGCACCTCGGACAGCTCGAGCTCGCAGGAGGGTCTCTCTCGATAGGCTTTGCCAACATCACCGGTTACTCGGTTATCTCCGGCTTGGCCATGGGAATGGAGCCCATTTGTGGGCAAGCATACGGCGCGAAACAATGGAAGCTACTGGGTTTAACTCTGCAAAGAACGGTTTTACTTCTGCTCTCCACCTCCATCCCCATATCAGCCATGTGGCTCAACATGAAGAGGATCCTCTTGTGGTGCGGCCAAGACGAAGAAATCTCATCAATGGCGCATGTCTTTATAGTGTTCTCCATCCCGGACCTGTTCTTCCTCTCCCTCCTCCACCCCCTTCGGATCTACTTGAGGACCCAAGGCATTACGTTGCCGTTGACATACTGCTCTGCAATCTCTGTTCTTCTCCACGTCCCACTAAATTTCCTTCTAGTCGTGCATTTCAAGATGGGTATTGCAGGGGTGGCCATAGCCATGGTGTGGACCAATCTCAATCTCTTCCTCTTGCTATCGGCCTTTATTTTCTTCTCCGGTGTCTACAAGGACTCATGGGTTGCGCCGAGCATGGACTGCCTCCGAGGGTGGTCGTCGTTGCTGGGGCTGGCCGTGCCAACCTGCGTCTCAGTGTGCCTCGAGTGGTGGTGGTATGAGTTCATGATAATGCTATGTGGGCTGCTTGTTAATCCGAAAGCGACCATTGCTTCCATGGGAATCCTTATCCAAACAACATCTTTGGTTTATGTCTTCCCATCATCTCTAAGCCTTGGTGTGTCGACAAGGGTGGGGAATGAGCTAGGCGCCAACAGACCGGCTAAGGCCCGCATCGCCATGATCGTGTCTCTCGCATGTGCGGCAGCTCTAGGCCTTGCAGCAATGCTGTTCACTACGCTGGTGAGACATCGGTGGGGTCTATTTTTCACCGACGATGCCGAAATTCTTGAGCTCACCTCAGTAGCATTGCCCATAGTTGGGCTCTGTGAGCTCGGCAATTGCCCGCAGACCACCGGCTGCGGGGTGTTGAGAGGCAGCGCCAGACCAACGACCGGCGCCAATATTAACTTGGGATCTTTCTACTTGGTGGGTATGCCAGTCGCCATCTTCATGGGCTTTGTGGCCAAAATGGGCTTTGCAGGGCTCTGGATTGGCCTGCTGGCAGCACAGGCATCATGTGCCATACTCATGCTGTATGTCCTAGGCACCACAGATTGGGTGGTTCAAGCGGAGAGAGCAAGAGAACTAACAAATGCTTCATTGTCATCATCATCTTTTACTAAGGAAGCCACAAAGGTTCCTAATTTGGAGGAGATTTTGTGTGTTAATGATGGACTTGTGAAGTCAGACTCACAAGAAACAGATCCTCTCATTTCAACACCCATTGTGAATCCCATTAATTAATTAAAGCCTTACCCTTCAAAGGAGAGTGCTTCTTTCTACTCTTAATTTCCAATTTTTTTTTCTTTTTCCTCTTAAAAAGAGATGATAATATATATATATATATATATTTATATTTATAAAAATTAATGATATATATATTTATATATAATGTAATCCGACTTAATTTGTGTTGTAGATGATGATGAGTTGAGAACTTCTTCTTTCTTTCCATAAATTTCCATCAGTTTACGTTTTTATTCGCATTTAGAGAGTCGATCGAGATGGAGAAAAAAGAAATAAAGTTAAGAATAACACGAGAAGAGAGAAAGAAAAGGCTAAGTTATTGTCGGTGTTTTTAGGGGCTGTAGAGAGGATCTGCCTGCTTTTTGTTGTTGTTCCTTCCATTTGAGGCACAACACTAACCGCCCCCAAAAGGAATATCTTCACACCTCCACCATTTCTGGCAAAACAAGCCTAAATTTAAGAGACCACATTTCCTGCGGCCCCCGTCGCAGGACAACCCCGAGACCCCCAGTGATTTTTGAACAGGCCAGTGTTTATAATCAAACACTAGCTTATTGGTGTCACATTTTCTCTTTTTCCAAAAACCACTGGGGGTCTCGGGGTTGTCCTGCGACGGGGGTCGCAGGAAATGTGATCTCAAAATTTTAACATTTCATTCATTTTTTCACATTTATTAGCTTATTATCATTCTTGCATTTTTTAAAATATACATACATGAGCAAATAAGGCAATAACCTTCTTTTCTTCTTCTTCTTCTTCAAGTAAATACCCACTAATCAACGTCAACCTATTAATTATGTAAAGACTGACTATTACTCTCTTATGAATTTCCATTATTTATATATATCTTCTACATAGTCGAGATGGTGTTTATCATACTTTCCTTTTCATCCTTGGACAATGTACACTACTAGTTTATATAAACAATAATACAGGTTGAAAAGAAAAACAGACAAGTACCCATAAAACTTCAAACAAAATTCCAACAGAGAGAGAGAGAAAGAGATCTTATATATGGGTTATATGTACTAGCGCATTAAAGAATAATAATAGTATAGAAGTATCAGTTGAAAGAGGTGCTTGGATGGAAGTGGGGGGGGGGGGGTCCCTGCTTCTAACTGAAGAAACAAAATCCAGCTATTATTAGCTCTGTCTACTTCTCAGATGACAAAATAGGAGCAGTGCCTCTGCTTGGCCAGTACTTAACGCACCTCTCTTTCACCCTCTCTTTTCCCTTCCTTCTTTACTTTTTTTATTTCTCTCCTTTTCCCTTTTAAAATTTTCCTTCTTACACAAACCATGCAAGAGCAAGACATCTATAAACATCAAATCCAGAAGAGAACAATTGCTTTAAAAATTAGAGAAAAAAAAACCAACAGTAAAAGAAAATGGTAAGACTACTTCTTTTTGCATTTTTTATATATTGAGCAACAGACACCAAACAACTCTCACTTTCTCTCTATACACAGTTACACACCACACTCCTATTTTCCACTTTTCTCCTTTTCCCCGTGTGGTTGGAGGAAAGGTGGCAAGAAATTTCATCTCTCTGGTCTGATGGTCTGACGTCGTTAAATGTTTTCTCTAGGAGTTGTGATTGGTGAAGATAATTCAACCACATCTCAATTGTCCAAAGTGCTATATCTGTACAGGAATGTTCTTGTTCACAGATAAGCACAAATCTATACTAATGTGTCACCACCTGCCGACCATGCAGACATCACGACACAGCGTTTGCTGAAGCCAATCAACGTGATCCACTTGGCCAAAATTCAATGCTGCCATCGAGTTATCACAACCATTAATTCATTCTTAACTTTATTCAATTCCATTCCGGTATTTAACCAATCTGATGTAACAATTCGTGCAGATTTTATACAAAAGAATGTCAAACTCACTGTGGTCTGTGGGCCAATGGAATGTTCTACAAATGTTAACTTAACCTTTAATCACAAACCCAAAAGCCCCCTGTTTGAGTTTAAGTTCAAGTAATGAAGTAATCACAAAATAAATCAGGAATGTGGGTCCATTCCTACTGTTGGTGTGCCACGTGTCTTCTTAATATTTGTTGGGTGGGTGCTTCATGCTTGTGAGAACCGATACTTTGCGTTTGAGTGTCAAAATAATTCTCCGTCACACACCACATATGTATAATGACAAGGAAATGAAAATCGATGGAGCAAGTGGGGAGCAAAATAAAGAAAACTTTTATTTTATATAGGAAAGTAAAGAAAAGAGGAAGACAGGGTCAGATGTCCTACAATACTGTGAGAGCGAGCGTAACCAATAAATTCTATCTCAATTAAAGAGTCAAGAGCCGCAACCCAGCCATCACCATCGGTCCGGTCCAACTCTGGTGCCAAAAGTCTTAAGCAAGTGTTCGATTTCTCTACTCCAGAAACAAAGAGGTTGAGTTGAGCCTTTGTATCATTGGCCAGTCAAAACTATGACCGACGAGAGTGAACAAGTTGACAACACGCCACATAAACATGACCCCCAGACGTCACTTGCATGGAGATGGAGATGGAGAAAGCTTTCTTCTTTCTTTTTTTAATAGTGGGTGGGTTGGTCCAGCTCCCAGCAAGTGATCGATGCTTTGGCTGGCGTATAGTTGATCACTTCAATTCAGGCCTTCAAACTTCAAATTCTCTTTCTTTTGGTTGAAACTAAAGAGTAGTGGACCATTGATAGTCGATGGTGGGAATTACATATTCACTTACGTAGCCCAAGTTAATTTTATAAGATTCTCTGGGTTTAATTTGCTACTCTTGCTTTCAACAATAAGTTCAACAACGTATGGAGTCAAAGCTTTTTCATGCGAAGTAATGGCCCATTTGGGAATAAAAGTTAGAGACTATCATTCTATGCCGCGTCAAAATGCTCTCCATCTTCTCTTCTGTAATCTCTCCACACCACAGTTCCCTTCCCCACCAATACAAAGTAATTGGAATGCCACCGCCAATGTGATGAAGTTGTGAACTTCTGCAAATTCACAACGATCACTAGTGTAATTGGGAGTCTTACACTTACTGCCACCTGTCTCTCTGTCACAGCATGAGAATGACAAGCCTAACTATGTTTTTTGTTGTGGGTTCTGGTTGATGATGACACGACACGTGTCTTCAGTTCACATAGCAGCCTAGTCCTTTAGGAGTCTATCTAAGAATTCGTAATATAATTACTAAACAAAACAATTGGTGGAAGTGGTAGGGTCGTTGGCTCGTTGCCATGTGGAATTGATGGAAAAAGGAACATAAAAAGGAGAGAGAGAGAAACAAACTAACGAAGTGACCTTTTATCTTTATTTCTAGAAGGGCTCCTCCTAGAGAGAGAAACCAAACTATTATATATTTATGTTAATGTTCTGCGGAAGAAGAAGACACAATAGCTGCAAAACCGCCATGGGTTTTGTTTTCTAAATTAAACATTTATTCTGTCCACCACCGTCCTCCCTCCTATGAGGAGTACTAGTGAGCTAGTGCTCCTTATCCAGTTATCCCTTCCTTTTCTAAAGCCAAAAGAAAGAAAAAAGAAGTAAATCCACACTTAAGGGGGGGGGGGGGTTAATGTGGCCGGCCACTAGCTGCTCCCAACTTATATTATAACCAGTAGTTTAATTAAGTGGAGGACTTTGTCTAGATAGGCATAGTTATAGTCCATGAGGGAGGGCGGGTGGTTCTTGTTAGTTCATGACTGTCTAGCTAATTGCAGATAACTGCACTTAACAAATTGAACTCTTCAACTGCACGAAATTTTACTGATGAGCCCTGACGTACGTGGTGTGATGCTTTCAGGCTCAGCTTTCCCCTACTGCAGTAGTTTCTTAGCTTTTCTTTTTATTTCAGGCAAATGCAGCATTTGGCACTTGGCAGGACATCATGGACCCGTTTGATTTTTTTGGCCTAAGATCAGACCTAGGCCAGCTATAGCCTATATATAGTTGCCACAGCAGGGGCAGGGTCCACCCTTCCAATAAAGAATAGACATGTTATTCCACTGTCCCCAATTCAGGTGACTCGGGAAATGCCCTTGAGATGGAGGACTAGTAATCCTTACATTCCAAGATGCCAATGCAGTGGCACAGTCGCTTAATTACTATGGACCCACCAAAAGACAGAGAGCTAGCTATGTGCTATATATATTGGGGGTTGGGGCTGTATAGCATTGATCGATCGTCTTCTTCAAATCTGCTACCCAAGGCGAAGATGGGCGTATCTCGATGCTCTCTCTCTCAAGTTTCGACGTGGGACATGGGTATCAAACTATCAATTATAGGGAGCATTAAGTGTCCTTCATAGGACATGGGTGCAAGTTTTGGGTTAGGGCAGTCGCCCAGTGGGGCAATGGCCAATGGGCTGTCCCCCGGCCTATAGGCCAAGGTTGTTTTTCTGGTCCCTCTATATGAGAACCGACCTCCTCAAATTTGGAATGTCTCAATCCTTGGCCCATTTTCACTTTCTTGCTCTGTGCACAACATCTTTTTCCTCCTCTTTGTGCACAAGTCAATCCTAAAGCTATAACAGGGACTCATCATTCATACAGGGAAGATGAGCCACTGCTTTTACCCCTCACTAAGGTAAAGTAGAAAATGATAATTCCCCTTTGTCAATAGAAAAGACGAGAACGGTACAACTCTTTTTATGCCCAACACGTGGAGGATGGACTTAATAATTTGTCCAACAGCTGGGTCAGTTTTCTCTGAATGTGTACGTGTATCCTTGTCCCAAATCTGAAATCAAAGAAGAACAAGAAACCCAAAAACAAAACGAATCAGCTGGAACAAGGAAGAAGACACTCTCAATTCTCAAAACTTGGTGCATGTGGTTGACATAATTTATTATTCCACTTATTAGCATTTGACCCCATCTCCTTTCTGTAGTGGTTTGATTACAAGTTTAATAATACTGACTAGCTTCACGCATGCTTAATCCAAGATTAGGTAATCCAGACAATGAGAATGTGAAGGAAGCAGAAAAGAAAAGGAGTCCAAGAAGCTATGAACTCCGGCTGTAGGCAGGCTTAGAAAAGTTGCTCA